TCAGTACTGAGGCTGTCACCTGTCTTTGACGACATAGATTCCTGGACAGAGGGAAGTATTTTACATAGCCTTTTTTGGAAAAAAATACTGAAGCAGGTGGTAAACTTGACATTGGTGTAAGGCTGATAATGACTGCAGTAAAAGACAGTTGAAAATAAATATGGAAAAGAAAAACTATTTCTTTTTCATCTTGATAAATTTGCATTTGTGGTTCTCGTGTCCCTCAGAAAGGAGAACCGAGCTGCATTGAGCAGGACCTTCACAGGCTGGAGAAGCCAGCAGACAAACACACAGATGGGTGATGAGGATAGAGTAAACCCCTGCCCTGATGCAAGCTGGGGGTGGACTGGCAGCAGGTCTCCCAGGCTTGGGAGCCTGAGAGATATCAAGTTGAACTGAAGTCTCGTGATGTGAAAGACTTGTCATGTGCTGCACTGTGTTAGCTGGGGCAAAGAGGGGAGAAGTATAAACTAAAGAGACATCTAGATGTAATGTTTCCACTTCAGGACAGATGATGAATTTTTATTCAATGAATCTTTCAAGTAGAATGCTCAAATTTTGAGCAGTGCAGGGTTGACAATTGTGGCCTCTTTGCCCTTGAGAAAAATGCCTTTTTGGAGTCAGACAGTGCCATTTTGTGTGCCTAGGGATGGTCACATCCTCAGCCTGCCATAGGCTCTGTTTTACAAAGTGTTTATAATTTCTGCTTTTTCAGTGAAGGAATGAGCAGCTTCAGAGATTTCACACCCATAGACTATCTCCTGGGTAAAAAGTACCAACATCCTTTTTGGAGAAATGCTCTAGGAAAAAAAAAAAAAAACCTGAGGGAGTTAAAAAGTCATGTCTTAAAAAGCACTCCTATAGTCTCAGAAAGAGTGGTTTAGGTGTTTGTCAACACAAGCAAGGTTATAAGTTGTTCTCAGAGTAAGATATTGAAGTTATGTCTTCTTTAATCACTGTCATCCAGCTGGCAGCAAGATGGTTGAATATAAGGCACTAGGTTGGTTGAAGGTGAGACTTAGAAGGGTCACAATCTACAGGTGTTAAGCACCTTTTTTGATGATGGGGGAACAAATGGGATCATGAGAAAGAATTGTGTTTGGGATGTGCATATTAGGAAGTCAGATGGGAAGCATGGAGCTAAGGAAACATGCTGCTCATCAAGATTGCAATTATCAGAAATGGTTATACACAGAATCTATCAGATCTGGTGGTGAGTGCAGCTATCATAGCTCTGCTGTTTCCAGGACCACTACACCCATTCTTTGATGCAAAAGGCATTATTAGACCTATGCCAGTTCTGAGCAGCATCACTCAAGTGTGGGTGTAAAGCATTATCCATGATGCAGGAGTAAAGTCAAGACTCATTTATGCCTGTTAGCCAATGCCATTATGTATCTATTCATGCTAATGTATATTGGGCTTTCTGCAGCTGTGTTTGAAATAACATTTAGGTGTTGCATAACAGCCCAGGGAAGAAATTAATGTCACATAGGAATGTGGCAAAGCAAGACTATCCTTGTAATGTAAATGGTTCATGTGTGAGTGTGATTTTTCTGGTGGTTATGATTCTACTTCACTTTCCAAATTGGTCACTACGGATATGCCTGTGGATGCAAAACATGAAAGTTATCAGAAATATTGCTGTGTCACTTCAGAACACAAGATTTGATGAACCATTTTGCTGTACTGTTGCTGAAACTGGTATGTCTCTATATTTAGACATATATTTAGTTTATTTTTTGAACTCTGGTTACAGTGAACCATTTTCAATTGAGCATGAAACACTGATGAGACATACACTGATGAATTTCCACATACTGTCCTGAAGCTTCATGCTAATTTGCTTCACAGGGAGAATTTTGGGATTTTTTTCAATTTTAAAGGATGTCTCAGAAGAGCTTTCCATTCTGTGTTGTTACTAAATTTAATTTGAAAACTCTTCTTTGGTCACTTACTGCATACCAGCTGCAGTTGCTTAGCTTTATTTTAAGAATTCATTTTATCTAATCTGTCATAGGCCAGAGAAACAGACTTCACATCATGTTTTAAAAATTGCTTTTTGTAAATTTTGGTTCTTGTGGAGTACCCTAAGGTCATATCTGCCTGCAGTATCTCATTGCAAAAGCCTTAAGAAAGCACAGTATGGGTCATGTATCCAAGTAACATAGTGAAAATAGTTGTTGTATTTTAATATAATGTTTATGGAGTTTTAGCCTACAAATGTTAATAATAATGGTTTTAATAAAGAAATGAAAGGAATTCTTATTCTCCTAGAAACCAAACTTCGCTAATCTGATTAAATTTGCTTCATACTGAAGATTTGAATAAAAAAATCATACTTTGGACAAAATACTGTAATCTCAAAGAGGAGACTCTCACAATAAATGTAGTCCTTTTTGGGTAAAACCACCTTTTCTTTCTGATTTGCCCTGACAAAGTTCTGTACCTGTAATTTTGGTGCTGTAACTCAGAGCAGGTCACTCAGCTGCTTCCTCTGGTGAGGACATACCTTTCCACCTGCTGCTCAGCATCAGCATCATATTTTTTCCCCCTGCCCATCACAGGCAGGTCCCACAGCTGTGCAATTACTTTATCTTTTGCTGATGTCTTTTAACATTCCCATCCTCTAACTGCATCCAGGCTTCCAAGGTTTCTGTGTTATCAAATGCCTTGATTTTTTTGTGGATAAGTTAAATGTTCAAATTACTTTCTCAGTACAGGCATGATCTTCATCTTTCCAGGCCCGTGGGTTGCATCTTAGAGCATGTTTGGCCACAGAAATGCAGTTTGGCCAAAGCAAAACAGAATACAACAGGCTGCTGATTGGCCACACTGTCCTCTAGACTTATTGCAGTAAACTCCTCCTCTCACCTAAATGTGACAGAATTGCAGACACAAGCACACTTGTAGCTACATCTTCAGAACCATGAGGCCTCATATGCAGTTAATAACATCTGTTGCTCCTGCTTCTCCACTCAGCTTAGGGCCACAGTGAAAAAACAGTACATATAAGTTGAACCCATATAACCTAACATAAAGTACCTAGGCATAGCATATTTTCCTACTTTTCCTTAGATAAAAATTGATACCAAATTAAATAGGCTTGAAACAGAGGTTGTGAAGAAAAACGTAGTGCCTTCAAAATATTGAAAAAGGAAATTTTAGTCAAAATCACAAGGTTTAAACTCAGATGATTATAATGTAAGTTCTCAGACAAATGAGTAAGAGTACAACTCAGCTTTGGATGGAGAGTTAGGAAATCACTAGAAATTCTGAGATTTGAAACCAGGTTTCCATTCAGTGTGGGGTTAAGCATCACAGTAATGACTTAATTTCTCAGAGATTTTTGATGCAGCATGTTATACAAAAGAACTTGAGAAAAAAGAGAAGAATACTGCATACCATGATTTCTCATTAGTTAATACCATATACAGGGTATAGAATGCAATTACAGACACTCATCAAAATGGCACAAAAGCAGGAGAATCCTAAAGAGAAAGGCTAAATTGCTTGTATATCTCAAAGGAGACTAGGAATAATGAAAATGAAACCTTCTTATTTGTCATAAGGATTATGGAAGAAAGGAAAAAAGGAATTTCTATCTTATCATTAACAAAGAAATGTCTGGGTGAAAAAATTACTCTGCTATAGGATATGTATCACAAATTTTAGAAGGTTTTCAAGGATCATCCAGATATTAGTATTTGTATAAAAAAAGTGCATATTAAGTATTTCCAATTTATTCTAGAGAACACTTCAAAATATCTCTATCAGTATCTTCCTCCTCTAAATGGAAATTGAGAGAACCTTTCTTTCTCTTAGGGCTGCACTGCAGTTGTGATAAAACTCAGTACTGGAAAGTACTCCTCCTTTATTTTGATCATAGCAGGACATTCCTTGTAGACACCACTTATTCAATTTTTCTCTCCCTGACATTTCAGCAGAATCCATATGAATCATTCTAATCTTAAATTTTAAGACATGTTTAATCATACTGGGGAGTAAAAATTAAAAGATATATGGATTAGAATGGAAGAGTTTTAGCTTCTTTTTTTTAAGAGAATATACCAACTGTGCATTCTTAGGCTTTGCTCTTCAGGATTATTGTGCTTGTGATTGTTCAGTAATTAAAATAGTTTTTCACAATTAAAACTAAAACCATAATAACTGTATTATTTATGTTAATCCCCTCCTTTTTTCAAATAATCCCAGAGATGAGCTAAATATCTCAGTTCAACAAAGGCCTCAATTCAGTTTTATAGAATAGCTTGAGTTGAGAGACCCTAAAGATCACCTAGCTCCAACCCCCCTGCCATGGGCAGGGACACCTTTCACTAGATCAGGTTGCTCAGAGCCCCATCCAACTTGGCCTTGAACACTTTCAGGGATGGGGCAGCCACAACTTTGCTGGGCACCCTGTGCCAGTGCCTCACCACCCCCATAATAAAGAATTTCTTCCTGATATCAACACCCACTCTCTTTGAGTTTGAATCCATTCACCCTTGTCCTGTCACTGCATGCTCATGAATAGTTTGTACATCTGGCCATTGCCCACCAAGAATCCTTTCAGCTCATTCCCTTGCTGTATGAACTAGGGCAGGGATAACTTGGCTTGGCAGCCCTGTGTCCCTTTTTCCTGACTGAGCCAGGCTATGATTACTGCACTGCATGTGGACCTCTGGATTTCAGTAGTTCTTCAGATCCCACATTGTAAATATGGTCACGGCACCTACTGAAAAAGTAAAGCCCCTGACTAAACAGTTTCTGAATTATTTCAACTCTGTATTTTCTTAAAGTACCTAAAATTAAAGTTTGTTCAGTCTTCAGTCTTCTTTTAGTTTGTTTGCCAGTTATTAAAGCTGCATTACCTTGCACAAAGCACCAGTATATTTTAACCCTCTTCTGAATTCTGTGAGGACATTTAAAATCTATTCCAACTGTGACATTTATTATAACAAAAATGTTAAATATCTTTTCAGTTGTAATCACTTTATTACCTGTGTTGTAATGCTTGGTGCAGTAACATAAATCCTTTTCTTCTTTCAGCAGAAACTGTGGCAGAGTAAGACCTTCTGCTACTTGAACCGCTCCCTTTTCTTGCCACTCAAAAATGAGATCATTCATTGTGTATCCAACTAAAACAAAGAAAAAACCCAAATTAAGTCTGCTGCAAGCTTTGAAAAGCAGTAACATATCAAATTAAAATATTTTAATAAATGTTATACAAAGGAAGTAATACAGAGGGTCTGCTTTTACCCGTTGATCACAAATTTTTATCTGCCATTTTATACCACATTGAATTGGAAGAGACAAAACAGATGTCTTATGAAACTCTTTTAAATCCTTATAATTATATGGTCTATTAATGGATTCAACAAAAGCATTTAAATTCGCTAAACATCCAAATATCTTTGGTGCTTGGGAACATCTTTTTCTCCTCAACCCATGAAGGATAAAATAGACACTCAGATCTCTTCCTCCTTGAGGTGAAATGTGGATTGTCAAAGTTATGCTTATGGATTTATGTCAATTTGAATGGTTAAGTGCAAATTGTTCAAAGACAATGATGAATTCAAAATTCTGCAGTAGTATTAGTTGAATTGAAAAACTGCTATTCTCCCAAACTGGAACAAGGCATGGAAAAGCAATTGATTATAATCTCGTATTAACTGACTGTGACATATAATGATATTAAGCACTCAGCTTTAATATTCAGACTCCTGCACTTATCCATGCCTCATGCATGTGTATAAGATTAGCTATAACAGCAAAAGACTAATACTAATCAAGGCCCAGACTTTGCAACAGACCAGTACTTTTTCTTTCTATTTCCCTCTCTCAGATAAATGTTTGCATAGGATATCATTGGGGAAAATATTCCTATTTCTTCTGAATATGTGATCTGTTACCTTTCCCAGGCATTTAATTCTAATTTTGTTTCTAAATAAATTTTATTTATCTTTCTAAATAAATATTTATCTTCTAAATAAATTCATTTATTTTATCTAAATAAATTTTATTACAACTGGAAAAAAAAAGGCTTCATATTTTCATTCAAGTTTAAGCCACATATATTAGAAGGAACCAGAAGGTAAAAGGAGAATTTTTTCCTCTGATTTATATAGCTTTCAGCTTCATTGCAATATTTCCTTTACGCTTTAATCCAATACTAATAAGCTGTTGAGAACCAGAAATTATTTTAACCTTTCAGTAACAAATTATTGTTTAAAGTATATTGTTCAGAACCTTCTCAGAGTAACTGTCTGGACAAAATTACTGACATTTTGAGTTTCAGCAAAAAATGAACCTTTTTACTGTGTGGGCACAAATCTTGATTATATTCAATGACTTGTTACTCTTTTAATACACCTATAAATGGCATTCAGTGACCTGATCTGCTGACCTGAAAACTGAGATAATTTCATCTTTTCTGATCTATGTTGAATGAAACTAGGAGCTAAGTATTAGTGTTTATAAATGAAAAAAAATATTTTCAACACTTCTTCTTCCTTCTAAGTTCTTGATGTTTCTTTTGGGGAGAACCTTTATACAGTGTATTCACAGGAACTCAGGCTGACTGTTGATTTACTTGGCACTTTTTTTGAGCTGGAAAAATATGATAAAAATGAGACCACCATATCTTTTTAAACAAGTAATTAAGATCAGACATTGGTCAAGCCACTACAAGCATATATCAATAAAATACTTGCTTTTTTTTATCAATTGCATAATATTCCATAAACACAATTAAAATTCATTATTAAATGCCATAAACTGTGAAAAATCAGAAGTATATATCTTATCAAACTTTTCATGAATTCAGACAAAAAGCAGTTGTGTGTAAAGCAGATTACCACTCGAAGCACGTAGATTATGGCCAGAAGTGATATTCCCTGAGTAAAACTCATTGAACTGGCAAGAAACAACTGCAGTGTCAAAATTTGTTTCTCTAAATCAGGTTCATTCATCTCTAATGCATGCTTTTAATTTTGATTTTCTACTCTGCCCACTAATTCTTCTATAATGCAATATAGTGCAAATAATAGCAGCATATTCAAAATGCTGCTGTAGTAATTAGTTTTTGTCATGTTTACATTTTAAATGCCCAAATACAGTGTTAGCATTCAAAACTGTAACTTCAGTTTTGTAACTCAAGGTCATAGGCATAAATTAAAAGTATCTTAAAATATAGAGAACTTAATGGAGATGTGCGTTTCTGTTATACCAATTAAATTTAAAATAGTATAATGTTTCCACTAGTATTTTAAAGTAAATCAGCTTGAATGAAATCAAAAGAAAATGTATTTTTTCAATTAGTTTTTGAAGAGGACCTGCTAGGTAGTACACTGCTTAACACTCAAAATGCTCATGGTACTGTGTGCATTGTGCATAAGGGGAAAAAGACATTTTTATAGAAACCACTCCTTGAAACAACCAGTGGTTACCACAGTGTAGTATTTATACTATTAGAGTTTAGGTATGTGGTGCTATGTATGCAATGAGCCTAAAATACAGTCCCCTGGCAAACTAATTTTGGGACCTCTGCTGATTAATTGTAATAACTGTCCCTGTCCTGTTCTAGAAATACTAAACCTGAAGTCCACCTGAGCTTTTGATTCTTGCCTACTTGCTACCTGATTAACAAATGTGTATTATCTTTAAAACAATTAAAAAAAAAAGTCATTCAGTAACATAAATTTAACTAAAAGTCTAAATGCCTGCTGCTGTTACTGGTCTGCTTTTGAAGATTAGAAATACACTGTTTGTATTTTCCAAATGGTCTATGAGATAAAAAATATGAGAAGTTGATAACCATTTCATGATTATCACTGTGCAAATGGAGCAGTAAAGTGTGTCTTGAAATATGAAGGCTTTATTCTGAATGGATGTGTGGCTACCTGTACAAACTTGTGCTATATGTGTCATTTATATTGTTAGACATATTATGCGTCTTGTAGGAACTGCACTGAAATATGTAGCAGTCATAAAGAGCAAGAGATTTCTCTTTAGGGCCTATAAGGGATTAATTGCAACCCAGCATGATATTTAGCCTCTCATTAAACCAGAAGCTTTTTTTTTTTGACTATGAGGTTGTATTGGTGACTTCTATGACTTGCTACATGATATTTTATTACCAGTGGCTGGGAAGTACAGTGTTACGTAGGGAATTCTGAGTGGATAAATTTTATTGTTGAGAAAAGGACAGTCAGTCACTAGCCTAGGTAGGATAGGAGGGTGCAGCTCACTAGTGCAAAAAGTGAAATTGTTATTCTACATGAAGTGCTGAAAACAATGGAGGCTATAATCTAGCATGGTCTTCAGGACCAGCCCAACCTAAACTAAATCAAGTGGACTAATAAAGGTTTCTGTCACTGAAACACAGTGCACTAGGGTGTGGGTTTGCAGGGCATGAAAGAATGAAGGCTGGGAAGGGAAGAAAAGTTGTTAAATTGTGTTTTAAAGGACAAACACCAGCTTTTGTGGCTGAAGAGGAGAACAGTTAGCAATGTATTTCATTTTGTCTGGCTACTGTGCAGTACTCACTCTTACTTGATTCTATAAAGGCATTACTAATTATACAAAATCTAAATGTCTAAATGTAGTTCCTCATGGAACTACAAAGAAAGGATAGAAAAAACAACCTTGTTATGTTTGAACAGCAGTGCTCAGGAGTTATAGGCCTGGTTAGGTTACATTAATACTCTATTAACCCAAATTCTGAGGTCTTGCACATTTAAAATGCAAAAGCAGGCAGTAAATTGTTGGTAATTATTTGAAAAAGACATCATCCCAGGAGGAGAACGTTTCCAGGGGGAGTGTTTCTCAGGAAAACTCAAGAACTGTATGAATACCTGGCACTGTAGCCTTTGTGCACAGTTCTCTTAAAGAGACAAGTAATTTTCAGGAGCCTGAAGTCATTCCAGGTAATTAGCTAATGAAGCATATAATAGCAGACTAAGAGCTCTGCCTCAGAAGAATATGACAAACTAGGGAACATTTATAATTTACTAGAAAGGAAGAAGGCCTGAAACAATTGGGAAACTTGGATTTGGTCTGCAGAAATATTATTTTAGAAAATTATGTTTTCTGAAACCGAGCTGGTGATGAGTGTGACAAAATGCAAGTAAAATTCTGTCACACTAACAAAGGGAGAAGGTGGAAGAGACAGGGTATTGATGAAAATTAGTTCTCAGGACTTGTGTCTGGAACAGTTGTTGAAAGATTTTGAATAACTGGACATCAAATAAAATTGAATTTAAGTGGTATTTTATTTAGTTGATGTAATCTATAAAAAAACTGGCAGATGGTTGACAAGACAGACATAGTAACTTTGGGCTTTAGACAGCACAGAAAATTGTTTAGCTAGAGTGAAAATTTTCAGCATTTTCAATTACAGGTTCCAGAAAAATTTCAGGAAAAAATGATGTGATCCTACTGAAATATTTCTAAGTATCAAGGGCATCTACAGTGTCTTGAAAGAAAACCCAAAATTTCTCTTGGTCTGACTCATCTTTCCCAGAAAAAATTATCTTTTCAGAAACAGTGTTGACAAGTTGTTTTCAACACTCATATGAGATTCCTGAAAGAAAGAATTAGACTGTATCTTTGTATTTTTTTGCACTACCATTAATAACAAATATCAACCTTTCATTCATTCAATTTTGAAAGTATAGGAATAAAGCCTGCCTTAAATACATAGAGTGCCATTTAGCCCACATCAGTCCACATTACTCTATAGAATTTATTGGAACCAAGATGTTTATATCAGTTGCATGCTAAAAGTTGGAAGATTTTATTTTAGCTAATTCAGTATCAGTGGTAGGCATTAAAAGCCCATTATCTCATAGACAAAAGAGTGAACAACCAACAAGTTTGTTTTGAAGAATTGTTGAAGTGTTAAATTGTTAAATCTCTTCTCCTGCTTCCAAGGACTCCAAGGACTACACCATTACAGAAACCTGTTATTCAAGGCAAGCAGCTCCCCTGTACCTTTAGAGACTCTTCACCTTTGAACTGTCATTGTCACAGCAATTCCAACATAATTCCTTTATCATATCTGCTGACACAGTTTTATTTGCTTTGTCTGTGCTCCTTTAGCACACCTTTCCAAGCCATGAGCTAACTTCTGATCCAG